ATTATAAGCAGCCCATAATCATCGTGGAATAATGGCATAATATATTATACGATACAATATATGTATTAGTATATAGAAGTCGTTGAATAATTTTAGTAGACGATTGAACATTAGTGTACACGCTAAATCACTATATTATGCTTACTACGAATACTACGCCCACCGTCCGCTTTAGTAGTTATAATAATTATTGAAAAATTTTTGTTCGCCTAACGAGTAACGACCGAAAAAAGAACTATATTAACTATTTCAAAAAGTATTTGACATATAATTGTGTTATCTGAAGAGTATTATATAAATTATGTACATTGAGTATTTTAATAATATGATATAAGAATACATTATTTTAACAATAATCATAGCTGGATATCGTTAGGGTTATGGGTATGAAATATTTAACATGAAATTTTCTCTTTATAATATTGAAAGCTTGAATTTTTCAGCCTTCTTGAAAGTTTTTTGGAAGTCTTTTTTGTTTTTGGTATGTTTGACAAAATCATTACTAGATGGTCATACTGATTTAATAGCTAATTACTAATAAGTGATCATTATTGGTTCACGATTATGTTTTTCTTTGATGTCTATAAATTGTAATAATAATTGATAATACTAATATAATATAATATTGATATATTAATATATTAATATACACATATATGATATCATACTAGTCCTATTGGCTGTAAATTATAATAATACTATTATATTATAAACCTCAAAAGATATATTATTATAATAGAGACTGACTCTTGCTATAACTATATCTAATGAGTAATTATAAAATATTAAATAAACATGAATTAAGAAATTTATATAAGTAATTCATGTGCATTGAAACTTTTTTAAGTATGTTATAACATAACTAGATATGCAAAAAATATTTTAATAATTTTTCTACTCTATAGATTTAAATTTAAAATGATTTTTATTATTTTTTATAAAAATGAAATATATCATGAAAGTTTCAAATATTAAAAAAAAAATAATTTCATGAAATATTAGAACCCTAGATACCGTACAGAAAAATGCAGGTTTAGGCAAATGTAACAATTTTGTTTGTTTTAAAAATTGATTTGTAACTTATAATTGATGAATTTTGGATATATTTAGTTGAAACTATAAAAGTGCTTGAAAACAAAACGCAAACCCTCAATATATATATGTCAGTTGTTAGAAATACTTAAAATATTTACGTTGTTAGATGTACAAACAGTTATTAATATTTTGAATTATGATACAATATATTTACATGAATATTTATTATGGGACTTTCACGATTTTATATATTTATGTAATGAACTATTTTCGTGAGGATTACTAGGAGATTTGAGTTTTAAACGTATACAACTACTAATTTATTCCATAAACTATTATTAATTATTAACTTATAACTTATAAGTGACATTTTATTGATAAACAGTAAAATTGAATAATTTTTTGATATTCCAAATTTTACCAAATTTTACTAGATTGAAACATTGAAAAAATCAAATATATCCGTGTGATATAAATTAGTAATTAGTAAATTAATTTTACATAATTTATATTGAAAAGTCAACAAATCCGAACTTTATCAAATAATGATAATAATTTCTAATATTTACTAATTATTACCACTATATTTTTTATGCCTAAAGGCTGAATTGACTATTATTGTATTGACTTTGTTTCAATATTTTAATTTCATCGAGGTTTTTTGTTTCTTATATGTCAAGATTGATTTCATTTTTGTAGTTATTTGAAGTTAAAGAAGGTACAGTTTATTAAATTTTGTCTCAAAAAAAAAAAAACAATAAATAAATAAATAAATCAGTATATATACTCAAAAATTATAAATATTTATTTTAAACAATTATTAAAATTATTATTATTATTTTGCTTAAGGCATTTTAGAAGCGGCGATGGTTCTCAATGGACCGCTATAAGCCTAAGAAGAAGAAGAAGAAACAATTATTATTTTATTCGTGTTACTTTTATACTATGTTGAAATTCTAGATTGCTTGTTGCAATTGTCCGTTGTAAGCAGTATGAAAATCTGAAAAACAAACCAAAAACGATAGTTTAATAATCTGTGTATCACGTAGTTAATTTTTTATTTTCATTTAATGTTTTTTTTAAAGTTTGTAATATGTTATTTTCATTGAGTGTACCTACATTATAAATAGCTTAAAACGTAACACGATTTGAAGGAGTATAAAAACAAGGAAACATTATTAAACGGAATTAAGGATAACGTAAAGCCAAATAAATGAATTTGACAAACAGACGGTTGTATAAATGTAAGCCAAGGGATGTCGAAAATAATGAGAACCGTCAAGGGCACATATTACCGTGTTCGTTTAAACAAATGTTGTTTACATAATAGATGTTGAAGAATATTTTATTTGTTACGGCGTAATAAAGATAGCTTTATAATAATAAAAGCCAGTAAAAGTTTCTTCTTGTGCCTTATTGTAACGCATTGCTAAATATAAGTGAGAATATGAACGTGTGTAGATTAAAAGGCATTTTATATAATTGTGACGTAAGACATCAATGTGTCCTCTATACTTATAACTTATAACTTATAAGTGTATAAGATATAACCTATACAGTATATATATATATATAATGCACACCTAAGTGCGCTATCATAATATCCGTAGGTACACTTATCGTTCGGGCTTGTGAATTATTCCGTTTCACGACATAACACGACATATGTAATTGTTTTATATAATATAATAAAGTTTTATGTACCAGACAAATACGTATATGCTATGATAATAATTTATATAATATGACCTGTTTACAAATATAACGCATAAAGATGTGTGAGGAGGAATTCGCTTCATTGTAGGTATCATACCATTATCGCACGTTATTCTGATTATGTATATTGTGTTATAATAATTATTTATTAATTATCAACTTTAATAGGTATGTTAAGCAATAAATAACAAGTATGGAATTAAATGTATCATAGTTTAATTTGTATACATATTATTATTATTGACATAATAATATGTATTGCTATTACATACACATAGTATATATATATATAATATCCCATATATATATCAGCTAACATACATAATATTATTATTCTTTATAGAAAATTCAATGTAAAAATCCATCTATGTTTTATTAAGCTTTTCGTATGTGGTATACTTATATACGTACTATACAGTAGAATATGTAATATGTATTATTTTATTTCATTTATTTAAGCCTCAACAACTAAGGTTATTGACAAACATTAACATTAATAAAGGTAATATGTATTATAATAATACTTTTTATATGGTTAATAAATCGTTATCAAATCATAGGTATCTTTACAAATTGTATTTTTACCAATATAAGTGCAATATTTGAAGGTAACTGATAAAAATAGGCATTTATACATTGACATAATGTTATGCAAATACAGATCTCCAAACACGTAGTAAAAATATGGGATTCGGCGTACCGCAAATATGGCTAAGTAATATCACTTTGGATAACTGAAAACAATCCGTCAAACGATAGTTCAATGAATGCAGCTAGGAGTCTTACCGCCTTAGCCGATTTTGCATGTAGGTAATACGCAGTATGAGTAAAAACAATACATAATAAACGCGTAGGTATATAAAAGTAAATTGTGCGATGCACTTAGCTAGTTATTCGTGACTCCCGAGACTCCGGCGCCCGAGAAATAATAATAATTCGTATACCTACATAGTACACACATATTATTATACATTCGCATATAGACTTTTGTCGCGAGTGTGACGGTTAATTTACCTCGACGTGCAGGCAATAATATTATAAAAGTGAGACTCGCACTGCGCGTCAGAGGTCTCCAAAGAGCGTTCATTATTGTTGTTATAATAATAAAAGCGCGTACGTGTCCCCGCTTATCCCTATATACATGTATATAGTGCACACACACGCACACACACGTACATGCACGTCTAACCGGGTGCCGTCGTGTCGTTTTGTCTTTTCAGAGAGACAAATTGACGCGGAGATGAAGACGACGACGACTGCGGGCAGGGGGTTGGGGAGGTAGCCGGAGGCGAGAATGTCGTGAGGTTAAGTATATACTATATAATTCGCATTTTGAATATACTCACACGGCGTATAACAACACAATTTACTTTCGCGCGAGAGAAAAAAATACCTAAGTATATAATATGTACATTTTCGTCCTGAGAGACGCGTGGCAGATGGAGGATCGTAGGAGTGGCGGGGTGAGCGGATGACTGAGGGGTGAAAAAACAACTCCCGCTCGTTATCAAAATGTCAGTTTCGATCCGCAAATTTGATGGTGCACGTGTATGTGTTTACCATATATACATATTATACAGGTCTATATTATATTACGCGTGTGTGTGTGTGCAGTGTGTAGTGAGAGATAAATATAAAAACTATACATTTACTGTATGCAGGRACACGGTTAAGAGACGAACACACATWATATTATATTTTGTAAACGACTATAATAATACGAGTAGGTATATTATATTTTAATAATAATAATAATATTACACGCTGTCAGAACTATTAGGAAATATTCTGCATGGACCGAAAAGTCGAGAGAATTATATCTTTATTATTTTTTTTCGTTTTGCATTTCTGTAGTCGCACCTATTATTCGACGGCTATCAAAGTCAAAATACGATATGGTTGTATTCCATGATGCACTAATAATAATTTGATCACGTTTAATATTATGAGGAAAATATCATTATTTTACTAAAGAAAGATATTTGAAACCTAAAATGTAATATTGTTATTGTTATTATATAATATAACGAGAAAGAGAAGGAAAAAACGTATACAAGACTGACAAAATACGACTACATTTGTATTTTTTTTTAATGTTATAATCAATCGACGAAAAGGTTAAGAACAATTTTATTACCTAAAAAATATTTATTTATTCTGYMCAGGTCAAAATTATTTTTCCTATTAGTGGCCATCTGGTWATAACGTCTATAACACGAACTCTAATTATTTYGCTAGTTCACCGCTCAGTCACGGGTCGTAATACTACAGAGGGTTTTTAGTGTTGTGTTATACCTACTCACAAAGTCTTGAACTGTACATTTCAAATTGTGATACAGTATTGTAGATTGTAAATCACGGTATAAAATTCATATCGTGTAAAAAAATTAAGGACCATGTAGGATCACATAGAAATTAACTATGTTTATGTGGTTTAAAGAGCAGAAATTCGTTAGCACGGATAGGTAAGAACTAAAAATGTGTTCATATTAATAAATATATATATATAAATATAACATACTATTTAATCGTTATATAAATACTTATTATTAAAAGTTGACAAAAGAAAATATATTTTTGATTATGTTTCAATACAATATAATTGAACATTATAATACAATTAGGTATTTATGTTGTAMTATGTTCACGATATCTATCATAACTTAGTGAATTTAAATTGTTTTGCTTAAAATACCTACCTTGGATAGTGAATAACATAAATGTAGTTATTAACAATGATTTGCTGCAGTCTTTAATCTTTATCATATGCGATACACGTCAAGCTTTCAATTATTGCMCTTTAAATATTGCTTATTTCGTTTTGAATATCATACTCATAATATATTATTATGATACTCAACATTTTAGAGATTAGTTATTTCTTTGTTTGTAWTTAGGGAATTTCCAATGCTAGAAATGTTCATAAGAATCTAAATATCGTGAATACAATGAAAGTCAGCATCCGAGTTCATAAAACTTATGATTGCATTAATATGATACTCAAGGCGTTTGTGTAGATTTTGCAGTCAACTTTTTAAAAAGTCTATGTACCTGCGTTTACCTATTAAATGCATATTTTATTTTAGAATTTAAAATATTTATAATAATAAGTAATATAACTGCATCGTATACTTCCCGATGCGTACAAAAATTGAAGTACAAAACCATGCTTAGTACGCACCTATCTACTAGATACCTATCATGAATACGTGTCTTTTTTTTTTACTATTATGTATGTATAAATAGTTTTATTGGTGAACTAAAATATAAAAAAATTGTATTTTGTATTTGTATGTATATATTTTGTAGTGTTATTCACGCCAATCGGAGCACACATATAATATTCTATGTATCTACTGAATTATTATTATTATTATTCACCCGAGCTGTAGGGACACGATATTATTATATTGTCCGATTGCTSGGCGACAATCGCGTGTCGAATGTCCATTAAAAAGTGTTCAATATCAATTTGCACCCATGTTTATGACTGTTGTTTTTAACCCTTTGGCCCCCGGAAGCGGAACTGGACGCCATAAATCTCCGAACATTACCCCGTCATCCCCATTCCCTCGTGTTCCATTGTGCGACGCGTCTGGTACAAGATTTTCAGCCGGTGCGATGCGCCGGCCGAGAAACCAGTTGGCCGCTCTGACCACTGACCCTGATCGATAAATTTGCCATTTTTTCTCCCTCGCGTACTACGCTAACACACATATACACAAAGATAGCGCGTACCCGTCCGGGTTGACCACCCAATTATCGGAGACGCCTCTGACAAACGGCTCGTGCGCCCTCCCACCCCTCGCCGCACGTGACCACCCCAATCGACGGTGACGGCGTGCCCACCATCGATCGTCGAACAACCGATTTTTAATTTTCGTATCAACGAAAACCCGCTAAACCGGTCATCCTCGATGGAGTGAGCATTGTAATACTCGTACACATCGAGTAACTCTTGCACACGTGGGACGACTATAACTACAGTTATAACACACACACTTTATAAATATATATATATATATAATATTATGTACACCACATGTAGATGAGGTGAACTGGTGAGCATACGCGAGCGAGGTGGTTATTCGCGTGTACTRCAATCGTGTTTATATTGTTGCAACGACAATACACCATCGTATATATATAATATATAATATTATATACCGATAATAATATATATGTTTCCGGGTTCAATACACCGACGACGACGACGGTAAATCGGTTTTTAATCGCTTAAGGGTCGGACGTTTTTTACTATTCGTTTTTATTTCATTCGCAGGA